GACAGCTGGGAAACAGGCTGCACTGGCCGCTCCTTTGAGGGCTGACTTCCCTGACGGACGTTGAAGGGGCATATGATAACCAAGTTTTGATACCGACCCACTTGATTCAGGCCAAAGGTAAAGACCCTGCTCATTTCTCCCAGGGAATTGATCACTATGAGACATAATACTTCTTTGGATAGATATTAGAATATATATAAGTACAAGCATATTGCAGTGAGCCGCCTCCATTTCAAGCGAAATGAGCAACAAAAACTTGACAAGAATGGAAGAAAACATTTTCCACTTGCATTGTTTCCCACTGGATGATGATGATGCCCCACTTTGCTCTGTGTGCGTGCCGCATAAATTTCATTTTGAACAATAATAAGAAAAGTTGGGTGCTGCCGTTGGCCTGCGGGGCAAAGCTTCCAGTCAGATCAAAATCACACAAGTAAAAACGGCAACAATGGTGCAGAAAAAAAGTGTGTGTGTGTGTGTGTGTTTTGTGTGTTTAATGCAAAATAACAAAAAACACCGAAACAAAAAGAGTGTGGCGGAAGACAGGAAAAAAAATAGACGGCTGACAGCAGGCCAGGGCCATGTTACGTATACGCCCCATTGAGCAGCCAAATCGCATTACGCATACGCCATGTGGTAGTTGCAGAAAAAAAAAAGCCGAGCAGCTTAATTACAACCCCTTTGGACTGACCTACATTGATTCGGCATCGACAGGAACATCACAATTATGCAGTATGCCCAGGATTGGATGGGGTCTCATGTGCATGACAGCATTTGCATTCTGTTGCAGCTGCAACTACGTGACTTGCCTCGACGTGCGACACTTTGACACCTGAATCCGGCTGGGAAACGCCCAGGATAACTCTGTCTTCGGCCATGTCAGGCTCCTAAGCCAATTAGGTGGAACAAAGGCCACCACATCCAAACGGCAACACCACGTGTTGCTCTGGCATAAACAATTTATGAACGAATTTCGACCTAGCCTCCCAGCCCAACCCAAAGTAAATACCATTAATGCCAGCGTAAACACTGGGTACACACACATTAGGCATTAAAACGAAATCTTTTCAAATCACATTCGGTTTCGGGGGATTTCACTTACAATTTTTCGCTGATCATCAGCAGCGCCGTCATGATGAGCAATACCAAGAAAAAAGCCAAGCAGTTTATTGCGTATTTTTAGGTCAGAGATGAGCAAACAGTGGATTCAATATAACACGGGGGCAGCTCCGATTGAAGCATCTTCTTACCTCGCTGCATGTTTACCCCACTGTGTTTGCCTTTAATCGCATCTGCAATGAGTTTTCCCGACTTTGATGAGTTTGCTCGCCCGGGGCCAGCAGCCGAATTTCCATATCAATTAGCAGCCCTCGCTCCGATCGAACATTTCCGGCTGTTTGCGCAGCCCGTATCTTTAGCTACCTCCTTATCTGTATTTTTATGAATAAAAAACTAATGAAATCCGATTTTCCGTGCCACTTTATGGCTTTGCCCGCCATTCGGTTACTGGCTCGAAAGGCAAAGTAACCGCAGGTGGAGGCCGCAGAACATGTTGCTTCAGTGACACTGGGCAATACAGCATTAGTTAGATGTCGATTCTTGGAAAATTTCTTAAAGCTTAGATGTTTTTATATTGAAAAAATATTAATTTTATTTGGTGGTATATAACCTTCAAAAAAACTAAAAATAAATATTTACATTTAAAAATGTTAATTTGTAAAATATAAAGTGAAATATTGTATATATTCCGACGCATTGAATTTTTTTTGTAAATATAAAACAAACACTCAAAAAAAAAATTTAAATAAGGGATGGGTCGATCATTTTTTAACTGACCTAAAAAATATCTATGGGGTATTTAAAATCATTTAAGACATGATTTCACGATCATATTTAAACTGATCTAAAAAATATCTATGGGGTATATTTAAAATCATTTGATACATGATTTTTTTTAACATAGTTTTCACATATCCTTTTTGCTAAACACTTTTCTGTTGGCTAGTGAAATCGACCTGGCTGCCAGGTTATTTGCGGCGGAAGGGGGCCAGTGCTACACTTGGCTGCCCACATCATCTTTTCGGGGCCACAGTGTTTGCGACCAAATGGCCGCTCTTACGGCCAAGCGGCTCCGGGTTCCTGTGATTTTGGTTCCGGCCCAGGTCACAGTTCGCCCGGGTTCAGCCGGAGTCCAGCTGGCCATGGGCCATAGGCTAAATTGCACTCGCCTCTGTTGCCGATAACTTTCTAATGAGTGGTAATCGACGTTCGGCTGCATGTGTGGACTGGCAGTAGAGGAGGTGCCCTTTGGGTGGATGTGGGTGCCTGAATTTGGGGCAGCTCTCTTTTGTGGCAACTGGCACTCTTCAAAATTCAATTTGGCCTTGTGAAGCGCCACAGATGGTCGGTCAACTGTGCGCTGAGGTGAGAACTGCAAGGACTTTGCATACAATTATTAAAATTGTCAGTGGACAGCCATCGCTTTATGAATAATGCACCAACACATTTGGCTTAATTAAAAGCGTCATATTTAATACGGCTAATGGCCGAGCTATGGCATCCCTGGGTCACCTAAATTTCGATGGTTCATCCCACTCTTTATTACATCAACTAAATCCAATTAAGCAGAGCTGCCAGCCACACAGTTACTCAGTTTGCCGGGCAAAAAATGTACCTGCTGCAAACCCAATTAAAATTACTTGCAGTTTCTGGCCAAAATTGGATTACCCAGGGTTAAAAAGATTTCAAAAATACAACACACATTCGGCAGTTCGTAATTGCCCGAAAATTGCGGTCACTGCTAAAATTCTCAAATTGAGTAAAACTGGCAGAACTAAATATAGAATCCTCGCCGAAAACCAATTAAGAGCAGACTTTTTTGATCTCGTTTTCCACTGTGTCTGTGAGAATATTAAAATTGAATATTTAATGGGAATTCTATAAGCAGGATAGAGGAAAAACCAGAGGATTGGGGCAACATGTGATGTTAGCGAATAGGAAAATGCTTTTATTTTCCCAGTTTATTCATATTCATGGTGCAGCGGATTCCGTTTTTATTTCTTTTTTTTCTGGGAGTTTGTTTTCCATGCTCATTTATACATCTGCCACTTGTGGCACACTCGAATTGCCGTTGTTGTAGCAACAAATTGAGGGTTATTCCCTCAACAAACTTACAATTTCCGTCGGCTATTCACACAATTTGGGAATCGAGTTTTTGTGCTGCTCCAGGTCCTTATGTTGTTGCAGGTCGTGTCCTGACCCAATATTTTCAGCTTCAATGAGCAGGGTTACTTGTGTGGAATTTCGGTACGAGTGCCTGTGTGGGTTTTCGAACATGCAGACTATATATAAATAGTTGCATCGGTGAATCCGTTAGCATACTTTTATGGGCAACAGCTGCAGCCGGATGGAGGAAATGCATTTTGCCAAATTTATTTTAGTTGGCCCTGGATTTTCCCATCTGATCCACAACGAAATGAGAATTCGCCAATCACCGCAAAATTGTTGCAGCAAAATATGCAAACCGATTGGTAATTATTACGTGCAAATTCAATTAGGTAAATCGTCAGTGAAGGAATTTTCAATTACACATGGCCAGCATAAAAATGGGATTTCCATGTTGTATTTGATGGGGGGCTCAAATGATTTATGATCTATGTATCATGGTCTATGAGTTCTCTGTGTTTTCCACTCCCATTTCACTCTAATTTCCGTTGGCTCGTTTCCTGCGGTTTCAGATTTTCTCCCTGGCTGGTAATGCAATGCTTTTTCTTCTCTAATTGGTTGTCTTGTTAGCGAATAAGATTGTGCAAAGGAAAACTCAGCTTTATACGGCATTTTCCGGTTTATAAACATTGTGCTGCCATAAACAAATAACACAAAGTCAAATTAGATTGACAGAAAAGACTGCTTGGGAAAATTTTAGCGTTTAGCGAATTCTTTATATCACCAATAATAAAAACGCAAATATTATGTAGAAATAATAAAACTTTGAGACCGGAAACCCAGAATAATATCAACAATTACCATCTGTCTTAAAAACAATTTCAAATGATCTAGAAGCTTTTTGAACACGAAAATAATACAGCTGTCAGGAAAATCGATCTGAAATTGTCCATTCTGGTACTTTTTCCTAAGAATTCTTACTCATTGTGCTGTCATTTAATGACGTATCTAGGTGATATCTTGTTTACCAAAAAGAAGGTAAAGTGTTATCTCTCCGGAGGGAATGAGATATTGAAATTCGTGGAAAACATCTGTTCTGACGGATGCATTTCATTTATATTAAAGGCAATTTCGGGCAGTCGGTTCAGTTTGATTTCAACTACCAGAGAGTAAGGAAACAATCGGAAATATTGAAAGTACAACTTGGAGAGGGATATTTTTTTCGATTAAGCAGTCGTTTAGTTTAAGCTGCAGTAGGAACAGTGTGCTTCAGCATATTAAAATCCTAAAGTGCTCGGCCATTGTGTTTCGGTGTCGAACAAGTTTTTCCGCTTTGAAACGCTCAGCGAGCCAGACCTCATTGGGTTATGGCTGGCAGCTTTCGACGTGCCAGTGAACAGAAAAAATAAGAATAAATAAAGAATACGGAATGGGGAATAAAAAGTATAGCAGAAAGCCAACGAAAGTAATTCAAAAGTTTGCCACAGAGCAGAACGGGCAACAAAAGCCAAGAAAAATTGAACTCAACTTGATGTCTAATTTAAAACAAACCCCAAAACCAAGCCGGGGCAAACCGAGCCAAGCCAGATCCTGATCCCGATCCCAGAAGCCAAAACAAAACCGCAACAAAATTTACAACTTCAAAACTTTGCCATCGGCGGTTGTCCTGCCTGATGTGTGTTTCAGTTTTAGTTTGAGTTTCAGGGGGTTTTATTTGTTATTTGTTTGCTTTTTTCGTGGTGTAGGATATGGGGGGGGGTCAAGTACATAATTGAGATTGAACTGCAAGAACAAAGTTGAACTAATGCACAATCTTTGCTCGCTGCCAATTGCAGACCCGCCAGCCAACCGAAGGAGATGAATCGAACTGCGCTGTCCACTGGCAGCACCAGCCGCAGACTTCCGGCTCTCTTGTTTGTCCTGCTGCTCGGCCTGGTGGCCCAGACCACCGGTCGTCCTTCGCCGGAGGACGAGAGCGACTTGGCCATCATACCGCCGGATACAGACAATGTGGAGGTTTGTGCCCGGGTCGAGCCTGAAATCCAATCCGGCATTACTTTACTTGCAATCTCTCTTTCTCTTGACAGATCCACAAAGTAAAGTTCGTGAATGGTGTCATGCAGAAGGATCACCCGGTGATCATGTACAAGGAGGACTTTGTCAGTGAGGATTATGGTAAGTCGATACCATCATTTAAGGCACTAAGTTTTAATTTCGATAGTTTTAGCTATCAAGAGGGGCCCATTGATAATATTGATACTATGGAAACTTAGTTCAATTTATAAATTTTAAATTTAAATGACCCATAGGCAATCAACTTTCTTTATTATTATTTTTCTTCTTTTTTTTATGAAATATACCTATAAATACTTTTTATTCTTTCCAAAATACCATTGTTAGGCAATACTATCGATGGTAGGTCGAACCCATCGATGTTTTCTAAATTTTACAACTATCTACCGCTAGCCATTTATAAACTTTAGGGTGACTGTTACAATTTAGCAACCTTTTTTTTTAATAATCATAATAAATGAATAATATTAATCATTTATTATTTCCTCTTTCATGTAGATCCCACTAAGAACGAGTCAAATCCTGTTCGCCACAAGAAGCACAAGCTAACGCATCATCATCGTGTGGAGCCACAGCAGGAGAACGACGGGGACCCGATCCTTTTCGACATCCTGCCCGACAAGCCGATCGTGCTGGAGGAAGACCTTAAAGCTCCACTGGTCACTTCCATCGAAGTCGCCGAACTGGCGGGACCCGTCAAGAAAGAGGCAATAGCGAAGCATCCCAAGAAGTACCACAGTCGCCAGCGACGACAGACCTATGGACAATATCAAAATGAACTTGTCCTCCAATATTACTATGCCAAACCCCAAAAACAAGAGGTGCCAGTTTTAGTCTATTAGTAAGATCGACTTACACATACTAGCATAGACAAACCGAATAATACATTTTTTTTCTAATCATAGTAAGCGGCTTCCGGTGGCGGGTAAACCAGCCGTTCTGTCGGGACCACTACCTAATCGTTATAATCCGAACCCACCTTTCATTGAAAATAGAGGTGAATTTGACTTGATACACGAATCAGATCCAGCACAGGCCGATTTTACCATATATAACACTACCAGGACCACGCGACCTCCAGGTGGGTGAAATTGAGAAACCTTTTTTTGCTCCAATCCCAGTTATTATTATTATTATAAAATGTTCGACTATAATGTAAAATTTACAGGCGAACTTAAATTTAGCTATTCCAATTATAATATTAAATATGATATCAAAATTACTTGGGTTATAAGTTCGAATCAGGAATAACCGAGGGTTTTGCCAACTAACCGCCTCTTCGACTATCGCTTTATCTTTAACTCGACCTGACCTATGTATTATCATCTTTGTGAATAGTGACCACAAGGCCGCCGCCCTTCCCGCCCGCTGGGAGACCTATTGCGGTAGATCCCATCCGGAGGCCCCAACAGACGGGGGCCCCCCCGTTGGCCGCCACTGAGCCCAAGGTCAGCAAGTGCGTATGGGCGATCGTGAACTGCTGCACCAGCGATAGCAAGAAGATCCGGTACAACTGCTTCGAGACGTTCGGCTGCCATGGCGCCTTTTGGGGCATCAACCCGTGTGCCGATGAAGATGTGAAGCAAGGTGCGCTTACCAAGCTCCTGAATGCCTACCAATAGGCGGTGCTTACCGGTCCTGCTTCTCATAAAATTGCTCAACGTCTCAAATGCAAACTTAATTTATTTTAAACATATATTAAGTTTTAACTTTTGTAAATATACATATAAATCTTTTTCCGCTTGGAGATAAAAACCAAATCATTTATTTTTTGCATTCACAACTCTATCATAACAATTTTTTCGAAGTCATAAATGTATCATTAATAAATCAGCCATTAAAAAATGTAGTTTGATGTTAAAAAACTCCCAGTAATAACTTTGTTAAAAATATCCGTTACTCGTATGGTAAAGGGGTTGTATTGTAAGTGTACTTTAAATCATATGATCCCCAAACTATCGTAATATATCATCATTTTTACATTGCCTATAAAAACCTATAGGGAAACTCTGTCAGAAATCCTACGTATAGCTAATATATTTAGATTTTAAAAGACATAGGTCAGTGAGTAACGGGTATCTCAGAGTCGGATCCCCCGACTTTAGCATCCTTTTATGTTTTTATTCTTTTTATTTAAGCTTCCATAACCCGGTGATGGACACAACACAACAATCAAAAATTTCCAGCTAACACATGGTTTGGTTACCAACTATTATATGTTGCCTCATCTGTCAATTATCGCATGAACTTCATTTCATTCAAAAACCAAATTAAAATCACCAATTTACGGATACGACTTGAATATGTTTGTTTAATTGGCTGCCAATCGAGTGTCCAGACATGTAATCCGCTCACAATTCGATTGCAATTACACAATCCCTTCAGCCGTATCAATTAACCAACTGCCAGGAGGCCACTGGCCATTGATGGTCTATCTTTTAATTGGCCGTCTATAATGGGTCGCAGAACACAATTTACACCTGCAAAGCCAATGGCAGCTGCATTGCTCTGGCGGTTTATTGAGGGATAAAATTATGTTGTTGCGCCATAATTGGCACATGTACACATAGAAATAAAAATTGCAATTGTTGACTAATAACAAATAATAACAATAACAAAAAATATGGAAGAATGGCAAACTTATCTAATAACAACATGAGTTTTGTATATAAAAACAATATATTTACTGATGCATAAATTGTACTAATTATATACCACACAATATCTGCCAGTGTAATGAACTCAGCTGCTGTTGTTCATTAAAGCCCGAACTCGAGGCCGTTGTTTATTAATTGAGTGAACAAACAGAGGCGCTCAATTTGGTGAAAGTGGGCACACATCCATACACAATCCAGCACCTACTAACTTGCACTTTAGCACCATGGTTTACATGCTGACGCCTCTTAATTGCAGACGATCTGGTGCCCTTAGCCGGTTTCTCGCCCCCCGGATTCCCCCAATCCGAATCCCAACCAGCACCAGCACCAGCCCCATCCTCAGTCTCTGCCCCCGACGTCCGTTCTCCAGGACAGGTAAGCTGGCTAACCGCAAACCCACAACCGCCATTCTCAAATATCCCGCATGCCTTGCAGATGGTTTCCATTTTCCACAGGACCACGGCTACCAGGAAAATAGCACTTGCCAGCGGGCCTCGAAACTCTGCTGCTCCCAGAGAAATATTGGATCCCAGTACGAGTGCTTCCACCACCACGGCTGCAACGAGAGCATCTCGACCATTATATCCACCTGCTCCTAGGATGCGCAGGATAAGTCCCAATAAGTCCATATATGCACTGCAAATCTGTCTGTGACACGAGCCTCGCGTTTCAAAAGCCCCATTTGCACCTTTAAGTTTCCCAAATTACTAGCGGAACACAACACATATAATATACATATAATTTCTAGTCGGCTTTGCCAGTGGGGCTAGCCCTAATCAATAAAGATTTTGCTGTTTCAAACTAACCATATATGGTTCTTTTTATGCTCACACTAATTACTTTTAAATTGAATTAATCAGCGCAAGTGCACTGGTATGTCTATACATCTATCCATTTAAAGCATTTCAAGCTATCAATAAAATTTAATTAGTTGTTCTCCTGCTTGCTTGTTTGTTTTAAATTAAAGCAAAGTGATGTTGACTCTGCATTTTTTCATGTTCTTTTTCCTGTTATGTTGTTAAATGTTTTTAACCAATTGACTTTAATTATTCAATTAGTTAAAGCTTGATTGAAAATAAAATGTACAGACTTCTGAATAAAAATAATGAATTAATAGCCACAAAATTATAATTGGTATTCCAATTCAATTTACACTTTGAGCAATTGATGAAACTAATTTCCGATTCGTTGATTGTCTAGGTTGGAGTTCTCGTTCTTTCCTAATTTATTTCTTTTACATTTCGAGCTCTAGTCCTTCACCCAACACCTTTCTAGGAGACGTCCCAGGAAACAGTCCTAAGCAGGACAGCGACAGCTTGACAACAAATCTCCGCTGAGTTAATTTGCCAGCCTAATGCCATTTCCCTTGGTATTCAGGGACCCAATCACAGGACATAAGGCGATTACGCAGTGTTCCGCCCACTGCCCTTTTTTCGAATTGTGTTTAACTGAATGGATCTGCGTTGCCCGTTGTTCTTTAAGTATTTTCTAGTAGGTGGGTACCATTTTTGGGAATTAAAGAACACAATTTACACCTTGATGCTTAAAATGTTAAACTCTGCCGTTGGGCATAATTGAAGTATTCCTTTTTAAGAGTTTTGAATTCGGAATTTTAAGAATTCATGTGACATCTCATAACCAACTTTGTAAAAATTGTGAAGTTTTTTCTTATTTTTTTTAATGTCCTAAAAGAATTGAAACTTAAATATATTGTCGAACCCCATTTTATTTACTGAACTTAAAGAAAAAGCAGAGGACTGAATGAATATAGGAAAAATATTAAATGCTCTTCAATGTAAATAGATTTTCTATAAATGAAGTTCTCAGTTATACCCTTTCATTAAAATCAACTAAAATATTAAAGGTTCTGGCATTTGTAATATACCATGTTTCTGCAATAATCCTTTGGCATTTTTAATCCCCTCCCAGATATTTGTTATTACGAAATTCTCGCGGTAAATGGTCTACTCACCGCTGCCGCTGTCGTAGGATCTGGTGGTGGAGCCACTGGTATTGGAGCGCTTTATCTCGCGTCGACCCATTTTGTTTGCGGTTGGCTGCTGGTCCTCCGGGTTTTGATGCTGATGCTGGTGAATCTGGTGCTGAGGGGAATCGGGTTCGGAATCTCTGGACACGTGGCACGTGGCAAGTAGCGCGCAGGCTGTGGAGGCAGCCGCCTTTGCAACTGCCGAACTGTACTGACCACCGACTGTGGATTTGGATGCGGATGTGGATGTGGAGCCGGGTTGATGCTGCAAGTTCAGCGAGGGCGTGGATACTGCGGTGCGACCGCTGTGGTGCAACAACGCCTGGCCGGGAACGGTGGGCGGGAACTCAAAGTAGTTGGCCTGGAGGTGATTGCCGAGCAAATTGATGGCCGGCTTGGTGGCCAAACCGCTCGAGATTTCCGCGTGGCTGGTGTGACTGGAGGTGCTGCTGCGCCTGTGCTGGTGCTCCTTGTACTGCGGATGGTGCGGATATGGATGCGGATGCGAATGCGGATGCGTATGCGGATGCGGATGCTGGGAGTGGGTCGGAGTGGTGCTGCTGCTGCTGGCGGGGTTCACTTGGTGCGGCGTGGGCGGCGGCGGGGGACAGGCGTTGTTGATGCTGCTGCTGCTGGCGGAGGATGATTTGCGCAGTGATGATGGTCTCAACCCTTTGACAGGGTACAATGGGTACTATCGTCCGGCAACGCGTACCCAATCGCGGTGGTCACTGTTGTACCAAATACCTATAAAAATTGATAAATAAATGATAAGTGATTGATTTAAATATTGCTTCTTAATATTTTAATGTAATCCACTATGAAACCCTAATAAGGGTTGATAAATAAATTCTAAGTTGTGTACTTAAAAAACAAGATAGAACTCCAGAGTCGACGTCCTCGACGATGGTGCGAAGGAGATGGAGATTTGCCTGCAGAAAATCGGCTGTTTGCGAGACTTCACTCTTTACTGGCCTATAAGTATTTAATGAATGGTCCGATGTAAACTGTTTTTGGCATGTAGATGGGTATTGATAATCAGAACAAAATACCTTTAAAATTAAATTTATATTAAATAATTTATACAATTCATATACATATTTTTTGTTGATAAATTCTCTTTATATTGCATTGTGCTTCAAATTGAAATAAAATCTAATCCTATTAGAAGTAAATACCTCTAACTGCGTAAAAACCAATACGAATTTAACCAAAAATCAATGCAGGATCTAATTCTCTCGGGACAGCACCAAAAAGATGAGGCAAACTTGGCTGCGTAATCGCCATTGTAGCCCATCGATAAGCGGACATTAACTGCACACACACTGGCCGGATTGAGGGCAAAGTGCACTTAAAGCCAACTCCAGTGGCGACGCGTGTCCTGCATGACAACGCAGATTGCGCATACGCCCCGTTAATGTCCGCCATTAGCAACGCCATTTGGGACAGCACGGCCATCGTCGACCATCGGCGTCAATTTTGCCAAATATTTGGCACATGAAATCATTTTGCGCTAATAAAATTTTACGCCCCTTGGGCGCTCCATTGATTTCCTGTAAAATGCCAGGCCACAAAAACTGACCACACACTCGCCATAGGGCGAGTGCCCATCCCCATGAACGGCAACAACAACCGCATAGTAATCGCCTCTAATGGTGCGGCATTAAGATTCACAGAGAAAGACCATTAATATCTATGTTGGGGTCGTAAGTGCCAGGGATTAGTCGGTGCTTGCCAATCAAAATTGATTAAGTCGCGGCAACAATTGAAAATTTAATGAGGCAAAGGCATGGGGATGTCGTTTTTTATTCTACAATGAAAACTAATTAGGGCCGTGCATTGGGGAATGCAAATAAATATAAATATGTTTATCGAGCTGGAAACTGATTTTTACTCCCTAAAGAGCACTTTTATTTTCCTCTCACAACACAAACATGACAAATCATCGAAGCAGACTCAATGCAATGAGATGAAACCATCAGCAATAGAATCAATGCATATTGAATTAGATGGGGCAAGCACATCCTCAGTTGCCTGGCGACAGTTCAACAGGTTGTGCCGAGTTGGCAAAGGTAAAATCAATTGATTAACCGGCTGAGGAGAGGGAGCATCAAATCGAGTCAGCGACGGTTCATGTGGGTCCTGCCAATGCAAATGAAATTGCAGCTGCATTGGTGCGTTGCACTATTAAATTATGGCCAGCCTGTCAGCCCGGCAGACCCAAGTCCCAAGTCCCAGGTGGCAAATCAGCACTCGCAAACAAGGCAGATGCTCGCTCAAAGGCCACCCCATCCGATACGATCCGAAGCGAGCGGAATGCAATTTAACTTAATGGGATTTCTCGGGAAGGAGTCTTTTTCCTGGTCAGAACCAGCCGGCGGTTTAATGGCAATGTTTGTTCGCGCTGGTACAAAGCAGATCCTCGGGCCACAATTGCTGTCATTCGCCAGCTCATTTTCCGCTTTCAAATGAAACTGCTTTTTGACAGTCTGTTGCTTTTGTTTCATTTCAGAAGCCATAAGCTGGGATTCAAAAGTCAAAAATACGCTTAAAAATTGCATTTGGTATATATTGTAAAAAATAAACCAACTATTTTTATTGAACCTTAAAGCTCTTACTTGCGGAAAGTGTAATATTTGTTTAAAAATCCCTTTCTATGAATTTTTTTTAAAGTGTTTTTTTAGGTGTCTAAAAGTATGCAGTGAATAAAATGCTGTCATTGTTGCATACTTTTAGGCACCTCTTTAAAAAATCGAATAAATATTATTTTCGGTCCCTTGTATAAATTAATCTGAGATAATATATATTCGTGTTGGGGTTAAATATTATTTTATTTTTCATTACCTCCCTTATTTATTCAGCTTGAAGGAAACAAAAAAAGAGAGCTGCAATGTATCGGTTTTCAACGGAGAGCTTCTTCTTCCACATGTTGCGTGTAATCGGCCTCGATGCGAATTACCATAATACGACACCAGAAAAGGACGCAAAAAGGCAGCCGGCACACAGATACATTCGCACACACGTGCCGAAGGATATCCATGCCAGTTCGAATGAATCTCAGCTAGCGCTTGGCCAACTGAAGCGTAGACAAGGAGCTGTTTGAGTTCTGGCCCCGCCACCCGAACCTCGGATGCTGGAGGGACGGATTAAGGCGTCAAATTGTTAGACAAGTTCCTGGCCCGGCCCTGCCTTTTTGTTCGCTCGTCGATAGATCAAAGCCCCGCTGCACACACTATATGCATACACACTCGCATATACATATAGTATGGGACGTGTGTGTATTGTGCAGCGACGTGGCTTAAGCCCACATCCCTGACAATGCCTTTTAATCAATTCCCCGAGTCGCTCCATCAATAAGCGAAGGACGGCCCGGAAAATCTGAGTTTCCTTTCGGGCTGCCGGCGCGTGCTTTTCCTTTATTTTTGCCATTCGGCATTTTTTCTTTTTGCGTCTGGGCAATGTCAATTTTTCTAATGAGTTGGCAGAAATAACTAAATAAAACTGGGACCCTTCGCTGCCTTTAATTTTAAAGGTTGTTTTACAAATGTTTGTAAGGGAAATGGACATATTTATACAAATAACACTGTTAAAAGTTCAAATTGTATTGGCTTGTATATCATTAATCCACACAATTTTAATTTGTTGTTAAAGGCAAGAAGAATGTTTACAATTTATCAAATTTTATCCAAGCAATCTGTCTAATTTATAACAAATAAAATAAAAAGCTCTATCTAAATGCTTGAAACCCCTGCTAAAAATAAAAAAAAGTGTTGTTAACATTTTTGGATTTAAAATAATATTTACTGATTATTTTTTAA